TATATATATACACTATATACAAATAATAGTTTGGTACCATGATTAAGTTCTTTGTCAACATTAATTGTCCTTGCTTGCACAACACTAAAGTCATATTTCAATGGTTTCCATAAAACATTTGCACACAAAAACAAAAAGATCTATAGAACAATCTTGCTTATTACGAAAGAAAACACAAAGAACTGCCTTAATGATAGATAAATAAAAATCAATTTTTTCATTTCAAAATAGAAAAATAGAAAGAAATTTTTTTTTTTATCACTATTGACAAAAAAACACTATATATAAAAAACATCTAACCAAATGAGTTATATGATCTAGTGGCGTTTCTTAGAACCTTCCAAATATTGATTTTTAGGATCCTAAGTTCGATTCTCGTTTGTCGCGTTGATTTTTTATTATTAATCTCACCATCAATTAATTCATGATCCAAGACAATAAACTACACTACCTAACGCGTTTTAAAACGTTACATTACATTACATTACATTGATAAGAGTATAGGGGTACAAAAGCAACAATAATGGGTTTGTTTGTCTTGTAGAGCTCGTGGATCGGGATCGGATGTGGAATAAAAAGGCAACAATGCACATGAAACCACCCTTGCGTCCCATGTGACATGCCAATACTCTCACCTCACTTAAGAATTGTTACTCTTCTTTATGATCTAATTGAGGCTTATTTATATCTTTCTACAAAATTTATGAGAGTTAAAATTTAAATCTGTTTTCTAAAAACCTTAAATTACTAAATATGTGTCTCTTCTATAATTTTCCCACAAGCCTCATGGTCCAATTCATCATTTTTAGTCAATCCGTCTGATTATCACTCAAAACATTGTTAACAAATCATTAGTTTTTGATCTAATGTACGTCTATTTTTGTTAACTTTACGTGAAACTTCAAAATTTATTTGGTTTGTGAAGACGTTCAACATTTTCTAAAGTAAAACTAGAGATTTATTCTTTTATCTCTTTTTTAACAGATAGAGGGAATTCGAGTTTATGATTGGTACATCTCTTTATTAAAAACGGCACATGTCTAATGAAATACGCATCAAATTGGTATGTAAGAAAACTAAATATACTGTACAACTGTTTATGATTAATTCAACCAGTTAGAGAACGATGTTTCAATGTTACCAGATACGAATTCAAGTTTTAGCGATGGATTTGAAAAAGATAGACTTATGAGTGTTTCTCTTTATACAACTCTCTACTGC